CCTAGACATGAAAAAAAAAAAAAAACCCTAAAACAAATAAAAAACACAGTTATGAATATTCCGGGAGTTTTTGGTAAAAAGTGACTGTTACCCAGAGAAGTCACGGTGAACAGTTTTCTGACTCCATTCTGTGCATTGACTCATGCTGCATTTCCCTCATTAGAACAAACAGGCTTTAAAAAATATGTATCCATGATTTTACAGTATCACACCATTCAGTAAAGATGAAATTTTAGTCTTCACTTTAGTCTTCACCATGAGCAATGGTGAATAATCTATCACACAGGAAAGATGGACCGAATATACAACAGTGGTTACCTATGAACCCACTGTTCCTTATCTTTGTCTCTTTCGGGTTGTGTTCTGCATTACTCCAGGAGTCAGCTATGAGGTATGAAAAAAAACAAGCAAAACATTAATTTATTAACATTTTAATAAAACTCACTGTATTATTTGCATGCTCAAAACATTTGTGAAAATAAAGTAAAAAAATATTTAGTGTTCCTGAAAGTCTTACGGATTTTTTTTTATTAAAAAAGCAGTTCTCTTTGTTGTTTCTTTTGTATCCAAACATGCCTCAACATTATGCTCAGCCATAAGTGTATCCTTCTTACCATTGTACAAATAATTACACTGAATTTCTATAGTGCTAAAAAATACATAAAACAACCCCCCTCCCCCAAATTATATGATAGGTAGCCAGATAACTCAGCAAGAAGAGATCATGTTGTACATATTGAAGAGTAAACAGCATTTTCAGTGCCAAGAAAGTGTCCAATTTTTTGGCATATCTCTTCCACCTAAAACTCTCGAGTAGGAGGACAGATTGATTTCCACAGAAGAATTCCTTTGATTTACAATAAAGCTAGAGAGAATTAATACCCTATACATACCATCAATTTACTGGATTTCTGAAAAGCTAACGTGACAGGAAACAGGGACAACTATACATACAAACGCCATGATAAGAGTAATAATTTAAAATGTCATACTGCAAATATACAAAGATGACCTGATTTCATTTAAAACATTTACTTCCTACTATAAACTAGCTCATCTAACAAGTTCCCAACTCTTTGATACTTCATGACTGAAGCAGCCAAGTGTTCCCTAACACCTGATGTGTATTGTGCTACACGTAGAAAGTGTTCAAAACCAGCGACCCACACTGAAGGGTGCATCTATTTCAGCATGTTTGAAATTCATCACCCGGTACCGACTCAGCTGTGATGTTTTTCAGAAGCTGACTAGTCATGCTGGTGCAGCATTCTGCTCCATGAGTAGGGATGCTTCTCAAAGAGCGTGTTTATAAACCCTACCACAACACTCTGAAACTAGCTTCTGAAATTTTTGCTCTGGACACCAGAAGAAACAAAGCTGCCTCAGCTCAGTACCCTGTATGAGCTAATTAGCCCTACTGAGATGTGGTGTTTATTAGCATGAGTGAAGCACTGAGCTAACCCAAACGCATACCTCGGGTACCTCAGCTAGAGTTAGTACGGCAACACGCTGTGCCGTTCAGTCCTACAGATTCATTTAAAGCCAAACCTGTGGGCAGCCCCATGCTGTTGCAGCCTTGCAGGTGGGTTAGTCTGAGCACAGCATTACATTAGAGCAGTTGTACAACTTCTTGTAGCAGACTAGCTCCATCAGAGGATGTTTGGGTGGCTGTGCAGTCCTGCACTGTGCTTTGCACAGACATTTGGTTCTTGACACAACACTCGTTCCCCCAAATCTGAGTGCTGTAGGTTCAAAACACAGTCCAGATGCAGACTGCTTACATGGTGGTCAGGTAAGAAGATTCCACAGTCTCCTAAACAATAATCACAGGACAACTCAAAAAAGCTGCAATTACTGCACTGACCAATTTCTTCCTATGGGGAAAGCAAACAAACAGAGGTATACGAAAAGAGAGGCAAAGTGCCTCAGTTTTTCCATTCAATAACAGTCTTTCAATTTTTAAAAGTAGAACAGAAAAGTAAAACAAAACAAAAAGTGATTTTCCTGAATCAAGAATGTAAATATTAGCACAAGACACACAACTCTGAACAGAGTTTAAACCTGTATCAAAGCACATTTTGAAAACTGTATAAATGGATAACACATCTCTGAATCATTCCACATCACAGTATGGTCAGTTTATACATCAACAGATAATGCTTTTAACTGCCACCTCAGTCAATCATTGAGCAAAGGTGAGTCAGAGCTCCTTCCAAAGTATGCATTAACAGCCAAGCCCAGGTTCTCTGCCCAGTTACTTCTTCACAGATTTTTTTTTCTATCTACTAAGAGGATAGTGCTGCAAAGCTCTCGGCCAGAAAGCCCTGCAATGCCTTAGAACACAGGAATTAACTCCAGAAGACAGTAAACTCTTTAGACCACCAGAAGACCCGCCGGAAGAGCTAAAGCAGTTCTTCTCTGCGCTAGATGAGGCTGCCTGTCACAACAGAATCTGGCAACGCCCCTATCATATCACCCTTCTTTTTTTCCTTTTTCTGCTTGCTACTCTCTCAATCAACAGTACACAGAGTGAGGGGCCTTTTATGGCCACTCATGGCTCTCACTGACATCTGGACAAATCCTGCACACCAAAAGGTGGAGCCAGAAGCAAGAAGAAGGGCATAATTTAAGCTGCAAGTGTAGAGTGGTGTGCTGGAGAAAACTGTTCTTCCAGAATATCACTGGCTCTGCAGCACTGGCAGCAGAAAGCAGTAATAAAACAAAACTGAAGTGGGCAGACACTCTTCATACTTGAAGAGATCAGCTTGTAAGTAGGAAAGTGTACTTTTTTTGCTCTCTCTCTTTCAGAATCACTTTCAGAAGTAAAACTGCTTTTTCATCTTCTTCCTGTTACTAGGAAAAAAAAAAAAAAAAAAAACAGGGAAAGATTTCAAGTTACAAATGGAAGCAAATATTGCTACTTATTCACAACTGTGAAATCCTATTACTTTCCCATAACTATATAAATGTTTTAAGGGATTTTTAAAAGCAGATTAAAGGCAAAAAAAAGAAAAGATTTCCAAACTCCATGTGAAATGATAGCATTGTAAGAGCATTCAAGTGTGCATTGCAGGTATAACTTTCAAGAAATATTGATCGAATCCCTTATATGGTCAAAAGTAGCCATGTTACATAAAGAGGAAAAACAGCATGAACTGACAACCTGAACATAAACATCAGGCTTCGCCTTTCTTTTGCAATTGCTCCAGTTTTCTTCTTAACAGGCTGTAGTTTTCCTTGGTCCCCGGTGCCATTGGATCAAGCTTCAGGGAGACTTCATAGTGCTTCTTTGCTAAATCAAGATTCCCCCAGCGATGATAAAGCACAGCTGGAACAACAACGAGGAGTTTCATTAGCAATATTGTTGAATAACGTGCAATCTTGCCAATCACTTGGAAAACAACATCAACACATTTGTTTCCGTTGAGGGTCCTTTTTGCTGGCTGGTGGCACAGTAGCTGCTTGTTCTGCTGCCAAACTCCGGAGCAAAGCCTGGGAGCAGAACTGGCATGGGAATGCTGAAGGAATGAATTACACTGTGGCCACAAACGGCAGTTCTTATCGGGTGAGCTCATAGTGGGTTACAAGCAGAGCATAAATGAAGCAATTTGCAGCCACTGAAGTGCAGCTACCTCTGGGCTGGATTGTGCAGCCCTCTTGATCTGTCATAACATGTGACAGCTTCTCTGGTTTAGTGCCCTGTTCTCTTGCTGGCAGTTTTTCTAGAAAGTAAAATAGAAATCTGCCCAGCAGGAAGAAGTTTCAAAAGATTGCTTTTTCCCTTTTTAAAACACAGTGAATATGAAGCAGAGAAACAATACAGCTGATAAGAGTTAGAAAGGCTCTTACCCAAATTACCATGATAACTGGCAGCATTTGGATTGGCTTTAATTGCCTTGAGGAACAAAGCTTCAGATTCCTGAATAATTTAGAAAAACGAGTCAACAAGACAGACTACTTCTGCAGTACATAAAATAGTACAGAATGTACCCAAATTTATAACAAAGACAACAATCCCAAAATACTATGCCATATCTATACAAACCACAATATCCATACTGTAAGCCTGTCTGACGCTGTGGCTCAGGGACTTTGGCCTCCAGAAGACCTCCAGAAGTGACAATGTTAAAAATATGTACCATATGTTCACCGACTCCTGCTAACTTTATTGTTATTTTTTTCAGATAGCTATAATACTTTCAAACATTTCATGCTGTAGTTTTCCCTACTTATCTATCAAGACATACTTCAATATCTGAGCAAAATGCTTTTGATTTTTGAGACCCCTCCCTTCAAAGCAATTTTTACCATTTAGAATGGGATCGTTCCAGTAAAGCTGTCTAAACCAGATGCTTGGACATGACTCTTAATGAAAAACAGTGAGTGTCTAATATTGAAATAGGAAAAAAAAGAAAAAAAAAAAAGGAATTTGAACCAACTGAAAAACTCCTTGCGTGTCTCAAGCTATCTGTTCTATCTATTCCATATTCCCACTTGCAGTAAGTACTGCAGTGGTCATGTTGATGCCCGAGTACTTCTTGGAGAAGTTGAACTCCCTCACCAAATACCCAGCAGTACAATTTACAGCTAAATGTACTCTCCAATTCAAACATTTTTATTTTCCAAGGCTAGCCGCTAATATAAAACTCTGTTTCCATATCATATTTCCTGTAGCAGTTTAAAAGGATAAAAAGGAAACCTCAACCCAGACAGACCATGTTTACTAGTTTACATGCAAGTTTAGATATTTCAGAAAGGTAATTTTAGATAGTTTCTATGCTATGCTCTGTTTTAAGGGAAAGCGGCACATTCAGTTTCAGTGCACATGATCTGGCAATAAAATTACTTCAGTGTGGTAGGTTCTCTTCTAATGCACATACTTACTACCTGAGATATGTCAGGAAAAGCCTTTTTCTATTTGCCAAGTTTTTACCACTTACGTCCACAAGACAAAATACAGGATCCACTGAGACAGAAAAGCTGTCAGCCAGATTTTTGGTTCCACGCATTCTCATACAATCCTTAAGGTTGGAAGGGACCTCTGGAGATCATCTAGTCCAACCCCCCCTGCACAGGCAGGGTCACCTAGAGCACGTGGCACAGAACTGCGCCCAAGCGGGTTTGGAAGATCTCCAGAGAAGGAGACTCCACAATCACGTGGAAGAAAAATAAGACTCTGTTAGCGTCCCTTAGATGACGTGTTTTTGATGTCAAGATTAACAACTCTGAGTGACATGGAATCTTCAAGAATGTCCCAATTCCAAACCAACCCGTGCTCCCTTCAGCACTCTGCTGAGAAGAGCTGAGGCTGCCACTCTGATGCCAAGACACACTGACGCAGCTGCCTTCATCTTCTCAGGACAAGGAAAATACAACCCCTAGGCTTCTACACAAATTCTTTAGTGAGGCCTCCAGTTTCAGAAGAGGGAATATTTAGATAGTCATGAATATGCAAAATGTCTGGAAATTCAGAGTATGTGACTTCATAGTGCAAGCTGAAGCATTCCTTTCCTCTGGCATAAGCAACAGTTCTGATATTTTCATACCCTATTAATGAACCTGGCTGCGTGGGACTAATACTGTTTAATGTCTTCATTAACAACTTGGAAGACAGAAGGGAGCAGCGGCTTCACAGGTGACTCCCACTTGGAGGGAATGGTCAATATGCTGGAGAACAGGCCTGCTATTCAAAGAGACTTGGACATGGCTGGAGAAAGGCGCTAGTGGGAATCTCCTTGCATTTAATTTTGCTGAATTGCGATGGGATAGCCCATTCAACAGCACAGGCTGGGGGTTGACTGCCTAGGAAGCAGCTCTGCAGGAAAATAACAACAGAAATAATAATACTAAGAATAGCCAACCATATCCTTGCACATCCTTGGTTGTGTTGGCAGGGGTGCAGCCAGCAGATTCAGGTAAGTGATCCTTCCCATCTGGTTGGCACTTGGAATACAGTGTCCAGCTTTGGGCTCCCTGTTACAGGACACACCTGCAGTAGCCCAGCAGAGGGGCACTGCAATGCATGGAGCAGACGACATACACGGAGTCGGAGGAAACTGGATCTCTTCAGCCTCCAAAAAGGAGACACCTCATTGCTATCTACAACCGCCTGATAGATGAAATCAGAAATGGAGAGAGCTAATGAAGCCAGGCTTTTCTCAAAGGTGCAACAGGATAAGAAATAAGAGACCCAAGGTGGTAGACAGGAAATTCCAATTGGATAAAAAGAACATTTTTTTAAACCATGAGGATACTCTTAACATCAGAAGAAACTGCCCATGAAAGTTTTGGAATCTCCACTTTTGCAGGTGTTAAAGACTCAACTGGACACACCTTTGAGCAAGCTGATGTAGTTAAGCCTGCTTCAGGCAGTAGGTTGGGCTAGAGGACATCTGGAAGTCCCTTGCAATCTAAATTATTCTATGATTCCAACTCAGAAGCCAAGAGACTTGTAGGACCTAACATTTGGCAGACTGAAGAGTGCTGCAACTTAGCAGAATGGCACCTGAGAACACGGAGCAGTCACAAGTCCTACACCAAATTCTGTTTTTTTTCATTGCAAATTCTGGTATTTTCATCCAAGTAAATATCTGCTTTCTCCCCTGTGAAGGTTAACAGCAATTAAAGTGGAAAATGGGATATGCAGTATTGTGGCTGTTGCCACCTAGTCAGAGGAGGAACAGCTACCGTGTAGACTCATCCCTCCATGGCCCAAGTGAGATGCTACAACAAGCACAATGCTTTCCCAGAAAACTTAATGAAATACATGCTCAGAGCTGTCTCCCATTACCATCCATCTTCAGCCATATACTGAAACCATTTTTACTGCCACTGCTTTGCTCAGCAGCTATTACAAGCATACCGCCTGATTAAAGGCTATTTAAGGTGCATCACATTCATATTACAGTAGATATATGGAGTAAATATACATTCAGTACAACCAGTAATACTTCAAACTGCTCTACCTTGCCAAATCTTTAAATTAAGTGCTGTTAGGAAACTTGCACACTGTATACAGTAAAGGCTTTAGGAAAGCACGCTGTATTCCATCTGCTGCCAGGGTCACAGTGCAAAACTGAAATCTGGCTTTATTTCAAGTACAAAAAAATGCTTAATGGTGCCAATTTTTTGTACTGCATATAGAAAATGCATGGATCTGTACATAACAAAAATATAGCATACGTATTTTCCGAGAACTAAAGATAGCTTGATTCTTTGTCCACTGCAACAAGAATATGTATTTAAATAAGAAGTTTAGCTTGATATAGGAGATATTAATTAAAAAAAAACCAAAACAGTAAAATTAAAACAGCTCACCCTTTATGAGCTTTTGCTTCTGGAACAATAAATCATTCATGAATAGATACAGATGGAATTCTTAAAGGCTTGGGCTATTTTTGGTTGCTTAAGGAAAACCACCTTCTGCTGAAAATCAGTGCATTTGAAACTGAAGGAAAATATTGCTTACTTATGGCAAGGAAACTTCTCATGGCAATCTCAATGTCTTTTAAAATAATAGTAAGAAAATCTTACTGTATTGGCTTTACTGGTAAATAGTAACAAGTTTTATGCAGACACAAAACAAGTAAACTAATAAATTAAATGCCTGGGGTTATGAACACATCCAGAGAGAGAGTCAGGCAGCTGTTGGGCAAACACTTTCACTACCTTTATGCCTTCCTGCTCCTCCCCTTAAGCACACTCCATATCAATCCTTGAAGCACAATCCACTTCTGTCTTTACATGTTGATAAGAAATCTCTATCTCCCATCCCTTTTATTGTCACTGAGTGCTTTCTCAGCAAAAAAACTCTATCTCCTCTTTTTAGACCACGCAAATGACAGATGCTAAGGTCACTGCTTTGCAACTGAGTGATGTCAGTCCCTTTTCCAAATCCCTTAATTTCCTCTCCCTATTCCAACCTATCAGTTTCAAATTACTAGTTAAGTTTTGTGTGCTTTGCCTTATGCAAATCCAGCACTCCTCACTGAACACAGAAGACTCCCTTTTGCTCCCTGCTTTCCCCAGGCTCTGCTGCTCCCTCCACTTTATCTGACACACTGACTTCAAAGCTTCATTTTTTCCAGAGCTGCCCATAAAAATCACTACAACCTCTTTTATTTTTTTAAATTTTATGACACAGACTTATTTCTTTAGTTATTGGAAGAAGTTTTCTTGTCAACTTTCTACCTATTTTTTTCTACTTACCCCATTAGAAGTGTTCTCTAGCATGCCAGGCTGCATATGATTCTTGCTAAATAACTACATGATCCCCCACTCTTTCATACTAATGACTCATCAAAATAATCATAGCAATTAACTCCTCCATAATCTTACTCCTTATACATTCTAGGTGTTAATTTTCATACTTCTGGAACTTTGTTAAAGCAGCTTCCTAAAATATATCTTACGGAGGTCTACGGAGTGGTTAATTACCTAATACCAAAGTACCACTTGCTAGCTGGTTCTCTGTATCCAGAAGAAAGTTCCATACATTGTTCTGCGTATGGACTTCTTGTAATGCTCAGAGTTCATCCAAATATTCTTATCCTTTATCTAGAATCAGAGAGCCCAACATCACTAGCTTAGCTGGCATAAGAGGTAAAGAGGCCAGAATTCATTCTGACTAGTGGCAAACTTTGCTTTCTTTGCATCCAAAAACACAAGAACTTGCACACAACTGCACATCTAACTTCAGGCTCTGAACCAAGGCCTTTAAATCAGATGAGGTTCACTGTACAGGCAGCGAAGCCAGACAAGACCCTAACTGCCCTCTAGTGCCTAACAGCCTATTTCTCTCTGCTGACGTAATTTAGGGCAGCTACTCTCCTAACACAGCACCTAAAGTTAGGTGGGATAAATCTAAGCCAAAGTCACACAGCAGGTCTGTGACAGAAACAGGCATTGAAACCTTATTATCTAAGGCATGGTGCACAATGGCTTCCTCAAAGAGTTTCTATAGAAATTCAGAGCTTACTCTCTCTCTATATATATATAAAAAATATATGTATGTATTTGCGTGAGTATATATAAACATATATATTATTATATAAAAAAATCAGGAAGCTCTAGCTACCTACCTTATATTTCTGTGATTTCCCCAGTACATTGGCCAAAGAAAACATAAGGGAATGATCATTAGGTATTAACTCCAGAGCCTCTCTCCCAACCGCCTCTGCTTGAGCGAGATTTCCTGGGAGCCCATACGGGGGAAAGAGAAGGCATCTTTAGCACCGCTTAGATCAGTTACTTCCCGTGCTGTAAGCCAGCACGTGTACCATATGATTACATGCAACTCTCAGGAAAACCAGCAAGTAAATGTAAAACGATACTTTCTGTTTGCAATGGTTAACACTTTCATAAGAACAATAAGAATAGAGATTCAAAAGTTATAAATTTTGGTCTATAACATAAATATACTTCCACGATGATGCCATTTTAAATGAGGAACAGCAATTCATCTTATGGGCTTGATTTTAATTAATGCTTTTAAGTGACACAGTAGAATTAGGGTATTCTAATGTTTACAGATTCTTAATAAAAGAGGCAAAAGCTCTTTGAGATTAAAATAAATAAATAAATAAAACTTTGAGTTTTACAAGATGCTGAATTATTCATTAAAAGATTCTAATGGACTTATACCTGTGTTATCAAGCAATATAATCATATTGTTCCAAGCCAAACTATGCTCTGGTTTCAGAACTGTAGCATTCCTCCATGCATTCAGTGCATCTATATGGCGATTCAAATCTGCATACTAGAAAGAAAGAAAAGCCCAGAAATTTTACCCTGATTTGCTTTACTTTCCTATCATGCACTGAAGGCAAAAATAAAAAATATAAAAAGAATATCAGAATAATGCATAAACAAGACTACTATATATTCCTGTTATATTTTTTCAGTGCTTTTCTCTGGGAGTTGTTTTTAAATACACATATACCAATGGTATGGGGAAAAAAACTACCATGCAATTCAGAAATCTAAACAAGAGAGTAAATAAATATTTAATATAAATATTTCAAAGAATCCAGACTGATTTTTTTGGCATAGTTGAGAAAAAAATAATAAACATCTCTTGAACAAAAGAATATAACCTACATTTTTGTGTATATATCTTTGTATTTAAAAGTAGGAGTTACAAATTGGTGTGGGAAGAAGTTTTTTGGGGGAAAGCAAGAAGAAGGACCATCGGAAATGTGAAACCACCTTCAACTGCAAATGAAACTGGAGTAACTATCAGCATTTAACAGTAAGGCAGAATTATGAAACCACCTTCAACTGCAAATGAAACAAACTGGAGTAACTATAAATACAGGAATGTTACATCTATCATTTATTCATAACTACTTACCAGCCTTCCTAAATTATAGTAACAATCTGGGTATTTTTTCCTGTGTTTAATTGCTGTCCAGTAGCTTTGCTCTGCCTCTTCAAACCTTCTTAAACTGTTCTGTACTATTCCCAGGTTCATCCATGCAGCAGCAAAATCAGGTCTAAGCAATTTGGAAAACAAGCAAACAAACAAGAGACAGGACAACTGAGCATTTGCAACACAAGATCCTATTGTATCACTTCTGCTCAGTTGCTGCAAAACACTGCTTAGCTTTACTCTAGACTTACTGAATTTGTACAGCTAAAGACAGCAACTCCTCTGCTTCTTGGAGCTCATTCCTTTCTTTCAGAATATTTCCAAGGTTGTTCATGGCATGTACATATTTAGGATTCAACCTAAAATTTGAAATTTAAAAGATTATTTATAGGAAACATATTTTTGTATACAAATTATTAGCTCTGCAATACTGCAGAGCAGGCAAATGAAAACCTAAGGTTTTTCTCCATGGGAAACACTACAGTAATTTTAGGAGAGTTCAGCAAAGCAAGAAAAATCCCATTACCTGACAGCTTCTCTGTAATATTTGATTGCAGCAGTTTGATTTCCTTTGTCAGCCAAGTTTTTGCCAACATTGTAGTGTACCTGAAAACACAGATCAGCATTTTACCAGATGCCATGCCCAACAGATATTCTGCAGGGCCAAGTTGCAAAAAATTCTTACTCCAGAAAGCTGCAGCCAATATGTCTCATTCACTACCGTCTTATGTTACAAGGATACACACAGTAAAGACAGCAGAAAAAAACCTGAGGAATGCATTAGGAATTCTGGATCTGTTTTACTAGCTAAAGACAGATTAGCCACTTCCAGATATTATAAAGGCAATCACTGCGCTTTTCACAAGACTCAGAAAATAAACAGAAAATTTAAGCTTCTCCCCTTCCGCCCCCCCCCAAAAAAGGAGAAAGAGAAAAAATAAAAAATAACTTATTGCTTATTGGTTTGGCTTCAGAATACGAACACCATTTCTGAAACAAATATTTTGGGTGTGGCAACATGTTGGAGATGTTGCCTACTAAAAAAAAACAAAAAACAAAAAACAAAACATAAAAAAACAGAAAGGATCCAGCACTTTGGTATGAAACTAGAGAGGAAGAGACACCATTTGAATTTATGAGAAGAACAAGACAAAAAAATCAGAATAAATCTGAGCTGGAAGACATATCAAATGCTACCTTAAGACTACTGTCAGAAGACTACAATTGCTGATCAAAGAAAAACACAAATTTAGAAATGTGACAGCAGTATTACAAGCACTTACACAGCAAATTAATCAGAATTACTTCTTTAAACACCTTACTATTTCAAATCTAATTTTGGGTGAAAAATACACAAAAGGCACACAATGCAATTTCTTTCATATTTTTAAAATATATACACAATTATATTTGAATCTAATTGCTATAGTATTTAATATTGATTGAATTCCATTTCTTTGACTATGCAATAACATGCTATGAACAAATTGAGTTAAAAAAAAATTCACACTTTCTAGAATTAGTGCAAAAAATAGTTTCACTGGCTTAAGAGACACAGCAAAGATGCTAGGTGTGCATCTATGCATGCAAGCAAAAGGCTTGCTGAACATGCACAGAAACAGCTACTCAGCTGCTTATAGTGGTCTGCAAGATATAAAATGGCACACAAACTCCATGTCCCATAAAGGTGGTTCTAGCAGTTTCTAAGACAAAAAATCTTGACAATTCCTTTGTATATAGATAGAAGTATATAAGGTATACGTCAAGAAGCAACAGAATGGTACATTTACTGTTCTGTCAAGCATAGGCATTCCAAAAGACTCCTTGACCATGAGAAGAAATTAGCACAGCATTGTCTAGCCCAAGCATCATCAGTGTTAAGGATGCGGCCTGAAAGATTTTTCGTATCACTCAATACTATTTTATTGTTCTTCCACTTTTTTTCAGTCTCTTTTGATACTATTCTTACCAAACTGGATTGCTTTAATTACATATGCTGAAACTTACAGTCTCAAATGTATTCAGGGCAAATTAGGCTATCAGACTTTGTGTTTCCAGACAAAAGAAAAATCACAGCAAAGCAGAAAAAAATAAAGATTTTACTCAATATTGCACATTAGCTGTTAAAATATTTGACTTCACATTTCAGTATCGAGATTAACCTAGTTCAATTTCTTTCTCTAAGAAGTTGTTCTTTCAAAAGGCGTCAGTGTTCCCACAGGAAAAAAATTGGTTAAAGACTGAAGACAGACCAAATGAGGAAAACTGTGCATATATAAACTATTTGGTCTCTCAAATGCAAGTTTCAATTGTCTTGTGTTAAGAAACAGTCACCATTCCACTTTCAGATTCCTTTTCTTCATTTTTTCCAAGACACTGAACTTTCATGCCCATTCCTGTTTCAAATGCAAAGAATATTTTCCCATGCAACAGAACTGTGCAGACTGCAGAAAGCTGATCGATATCAACGCTCTCAAACCAAAGCATCAAATTAAATATTACTTGTATATGCACATTTTGTGAACTTAACTAAAAAGACAAACTATACTGTATTAAAATCACAGCAAATCCTATTTAAAGAAACTATTGTTTATTAAAAAGATATTTTTCTCTCAATGGTACATATCTTCCGTCCCCAGGTATGGCTCCCATGTGAAAGAAAACAGTATTTCTAAACAATACTCCTTCAAGTGAACTGTTCCTTGTCGTATGTGGCTTCCCCTAATTTCCTGTCAAGCAAAACTGTAGTGTTAGGTCCTCTCAATATGGTGGTGATAGAGGGATGCAGCATAAGAAAAACTAAACCAAGAAACCAAACCAAGAGTTTCCCCTGCGCTTTCTCTCCACGTAAGTCACAACAGCAGCTTTCAGGCTGATATACAGTGGATATTCAGTAGCAACCAGCTTTCAAGGACAGAGTCAGCAAAGGCTTCCTGGGCACACAGAGGCATTTGGAAGGTGCAGGTTACCTTTTCTGTACTGCCATTCCTCTCACTTCACTGGCCATTGCACAGAGGCGTCAAGATCAACTTTTTGCTCTACTCTGGGCGCCTTCCAAAACCCAGGATTATAATAATCTATATTGTCTAAGCACAAGGCTATATTTCTCCATCTGTCTGTGGCCTCTCTCTTGGCCTCTGTCTGCACAACATGAGGCCAAGTACATCTATACATGGTGGGTAGGAAGAACATGGCCTTTTAAGCATAAGAAACTAGGGTGACACTTTAAATTTGGTCTCTAGAGACACAGCTCTTCTGCCTTTGAGAGCTATAGTGCATTCCAACCTGCAAAGAATTTGCCTTTCCTCATGAAACATTCAAGAGCAGGCAGGCATTTCATTATTAAATCAGTATCAAAGACACATATTAACTGTAAATGACAGGCTGTGTTATGCCCACATGCTCCTTTATCAATCTTATACAGGTAATTTTTTTTTTCAGTAATAACTTTCAAAGGACTATTTCTCAATGCTGTGTAACATCACAGAATTCTCTACAACCAGAACAATCAGGAAAACATAACATAGGAAAAATACTCCGGAATAGAACCTAGTTAATCTCAACAGGTATGTCCATCTAACATGGCACCTCAGCCAAAATTGATATATTCTAAGTATACAGAGCCAAGGTGTCTAAAAGGACAGTACAGGACCTTAGTCAAAGAGGCTCAGCCACAGTTAGAACGATGTGTGCACATACATTTAAATGAGGAAGGGTGAAAAAACTGTACTTCCCTATTCAAAAACATTATTCTTAAATCAATTTCTTGGGTCTTTTTTTAAAGCAGCCTAGGAAGAAACAAACATGTAATATGATCCTCAGAGAAGTACAGCCCCTCAGTTGAAACCCTGCTATCATCATTTATTTTATTTCCTCTTCCTGGCCACTTGTAATCATCTTTTCAGCAAGTACTCGTATTTGCTGAAAAGAAAGGAGGCAGAGCACAGATGTTAAATTTTCTGCAGAAACATGCAGATGCCCCTGTCATTGCCAGCCTCTTACCTCCAACGCTTTTCTTTCCCCTGCTATTGGAATATTGAAATTCTGTTTTCTAAATGATAACAAAACCAGCCTTTTATTTTTTTTTTGATTTCCCCATTTTCTTTGGGCAGTTAATGTTGTCTAAAGATACTACTGTATGACTGCATTCATATATGAGAAAATCTGACATCTGAAGTGCTAGTCACCCAACAACAACAACAAATGAATACAGCCCACGTAAATGTAGCCTGCAGCATTTAAAGTATCTTCCGTAGCAGATATTCCCCTTTTGATATATAGCATAGAAAAGAATTCTCACTTTGTAAAGGAGTGCTCTACAGAACAGCTTTATAAATCCTGAAACAGTTAGTTGTGAATCCTATTCTGCCCTAAAAAGTTTTTACAAGATCTTCACCTAAGGTACAGAAGAAAATCTTACAAATTGTTGTATATTTGTCAGTATGGCCAGAGCTTGCATTTGACAAATGCTCATATCTATAATCACATTTTGCATGAAGCATCAAATAAACCCTCAGTATCTCAGGGCAGGCTGGTTCTATCAGAAGTATCATATAAACTTCCCTTGCTCATTATCGTCAAAGAATTATTACTGAAATGGCTTTATTTTCTTTTATTATGTTTATTCTTTTATTATGTTTATTAATTGATAGCCTATAAAGAAAAGCCATCAGCAAGGAAGAAGTACAGAATGTACAGAATATTTATAATTTGCAGTCATTTAAATTCAGTTATTTTGACTCTAGAAAAAGATACTTAATGAGTTTAATGATGCTATTACACATTTTATTCAAGCTAATTAATAAGAGGAAGTTTTCCAGATATAAGAGCTATCTCTGAATTCTTAAAAACTTCTTTAGCTTTGCTAAAAGCCAAGAAAAAGTAACTTGCCACTTCTAACAGGTAATTTCATGACAGAAATAAGAAAAAGTCAACATGATCAGCATTCTCAGGAACAATCTTCAAAAGGAATAATGTAAAAAGGTGAGCAGTAATCCAGCAACATCCAGAAACAGTGAAAAGCAGCATTCTAAACCTCAAGGGCAAAATCTCTTGCAGCTTTGTGCACCTACACCTGAAGGAACCACGCCAATGTATGATGCAGCCCTTATGGCCTGCATCAGGCATTGACCTCAAGATGACAATGAACCACGTGCTCAAGGAGGCTGTTTCTCTCCTCCCTAGTTAAAGGGGCCCTGACTGGCTCGATGTGGGTATCTATAGGTAAGAAGGTAAAACCCATCCCAATAGAGTATGATGAAACACTGCCTGGGGGCAGTCATTCCCTATTGCTGCTTGTAATCAGGTATTCCAGTAGCTTAAATGAGCCCTCCGGGATTGACTTGTATACACCAACTCAGTGGGAAGACTCCCAATTAGATCCAGTGGGCCCTTGCTGAGCCATAGCATTGAATTATTCCAGATTTACAAACTACTTGTAATCAATTAAGTATCAGAAGACAAAAGTTGACAAAATTCACTGAAGTAGAAACAAGGCAGGCCCGGTGTTAAGCCACGTGAGTGTGTAACACCACTGAGCTCCAGGAATTCAGTGAATGTAGATGTATGAAAAAGGTGATGAGAGCAAATGGAATATACAGGCTCCTGTTGGAAGTACAGAATTACAGCCAAGGGTGTCTAAAATACACTATTTAAATCTGACAACCTTTCAAAACAGCTTAAGTGTAGAAACAAGTTAAAAAGAGTAATATGCTCTTGAGCACATTTAACCTAAAGTCATAGTATGCTTCTCCATCTTTTTTAAAATGTACTTACAAATCTGTAACAGCCTCTTTAGACATGGAGCTGCCTTTTCTGTATTAGGAAGTTTAACAAAAATGGCAAAATCTTTGCAACTTTCTTACAGTATCTGATTTTCAATGAATTTTAACATTCTGGAGCCATCTTTACCAACATTAACGTTCATTCTCTTGAACCACACTCATCCATCACTACTCTGCCAGACAGTGTGATTTACTGCAGTTTCCACACCTCCATGTGAAGAGATGTTTAAAGGAAGAGAGTCTGAAATTAGAGAAGACATTGCTGTAACTACTTGTTACTCAATATTAAGGTAAGTTTATTTTTCACTTCTCATATATGTAATTTGGAACCAAAAAAAGCTACACTACAGACCTCCTTTGGAGACAAATGGAGACTCAACAACCTTGCTAGGCAAGGCAAATAAATCTATGACCATATGTTACACACGTTAAACAAACGCACAAAAATCCATCTTTCGGTCTGCATTAACCTCCCACTAGAACAAATGCAACAGTGAAAGGTCCAATGGAATCATTTTTAAAGGAAGTCTACAACTTCAAGACAGAACCAGAACATCATTAGACCTAGTTACAATTTTTAAGTTTATTTTGTAAAATTTGAGTAAATAAAGCTGAGTCTATTAAAAAAAAACAGAGATTGGCTCTCACACACAGGCATGGTCATGATCTTGCCTAGCAGAGTTCTCTACCACCATTCTAATTTTGAGGAAAAACTAGAACGTTAGCCTGCAAAGGCTCCCTGTTCATATCAGCCCGCTCTCCACTTGCACAAGCTGTCACTACCAGCCGTGCAGCTCAGGCAGGGCTGCACAGCCCCGTGTTGCCAAACACTAGCTCTTTTTCACTCGCTGCCTTTAAACCAGCTGCATTAGTGCAGTTGCTCGGGCACAGCGCAGAGCTCGAGCGCAGCACTGTGCGAACGCAGCCGCGCGGCCTCCCAGCCAGACGTGGCTCGTGTCCAAGTGCCTCGGAGCGCGGGCAAAGAGAACATGGATCTGTCTGGAGCACCCTTACCGTGGCAGATGGATGGAGCTACACAGAACGAAACAGACTGCATTTGCTCCATTTACAAAACGCACCTGTGGTCCAGAATACACGATATACTGAAGTCATTAAAAAGAAGATGACTGCCTGCCACTGCCACACAATAAAATACAACTGCTCTTCAATGTACTGAAATATGAGACTACCAAAAAAGATCACTGGCCAAATATCTTGGTCAAAACTGCTTTTCCCAAATTCACTGGTGCATATTTGAATTCTGGTAGATACTAGCATCATTTATCTGTTTATAAAATACAGTATTCATGGGTTTCATTTTAAACTCAGTGTTTTGATCCATATTTTCTTATCTTTTAAAACGCCAGTGTTTTTGTTGACAAACTGAACCTTCTTACTCACAGGCTCTTACCAGACAGTCTCTACTAAAATTCCATCATCATCAGGGGTCTGTAGTTTGCTCCATCAGATCCTAGTCTCAGCTATCAAAGGATGACTGTGGATTTTAATCTACCTGCAGGTGAGGTTCAGTATCCTGTGGCAAACACTGGTGTTCAGCGCAGCAGCACATCCCATCTAGTCCCACTTCTTCCTCATTAAGCCTTGCAAGAAATTTTGCAGTTTTCCTCAGTGCATATGACTCTAGCCCAATCTCTCCTGCTCTTTACAGGAGATGACAGCAGAACTTTTACCCCCAGACTTTACAATTACACTGATGATATGATTCCTTCTCCCTTGCCTTAGCTGTGCTGATTAGACATACCATTGGAAGGCACACAAAAAGGATTCTAAAAACATAGCAAAGGGATTATCCAGGTAAACGCACTACTAACTTGATTTTCTTTCCCTCTGACATTTTGTGGTAATAAATTGCAATTATGCATTCAATTTTTTAGTATACTATCATAGCAGAACACCAGATCTGAGTAGATGCCACTACTGAAGCATATTGTCCCCCAACTCCAAGTTATGAATTACAGAATTGTAACTCAAAGTGCATAGTATTTTGACTATACTAGCACTGTAAATTGAAGCCTGAAATATTAGTATCTTACCCTTGCATCAAGCAAGGCCGAGTTAAACTGTACCACAATACCCTAACTACACAAAAGAGCTCTTCTCCGAAGTCCAAAACAAACAAACAAAAAGATCAAAAGTCCACACAACTGACTTACTTTTGCGTTGAGAGGGCACACGGACAGTGCACTCCTGAAAAGCTGCTCTTCTGACCTCCACTGGCTGCTGCGGAGAGCACTGCGCGTGACATTTAGCAACAATATGCCGAGTACTGCAGCAGCCAGAATTTTCTTTAAAAAACAGAGGCAGGTTAACAAACCAACAGCACAGTAACTATCAAATTGAAGTGCTTCTTCATGAGCTGCACTGTTTTGAAAATACCTTTTTCTTGGCTTTCTTACTCAAAAGACTAAATCCGTATGTAAACAGAATGCAATATCCAATACTGGGGAGGTAGATGACTCTCTCTGCAACAACGAATCCTACTCGGAAGAACAGGTTACTTGCAGGAAGAAAAGGGATAATAAGAAATCCAAGTCCAAGTGTAAGAATTCTGCAAACAAGAAGAAGAATGTCAAATGAACCATAAATATTAGCAAAAGTACCTCTTCCATTTACATATAAACTTTACTTAGAAATTGTGGAAAGCTGTGTGTACAGAACAGGGCATTCCAAAGTGCTTCTGGTAGCTAGAGAAAAAAAGATCAGATTGCATTTTAACAAGTTTCAAGGAGGTTTTTGTTCTTCAATCCTGCAGACACCTTTGAAATTCTAACTGGAGTTCCCAGAAAAGCAACATTCCTACTTTGCCACCAGCATATAGCCCTGTTAATCATTAATGATATAATTCCCATTTAAAATATACAGAGAATAAAAGATAGGGTAAAAATTACCTACCTAGTTTTAAAATTAGCAAGTCAAAAACATGGAGAAAAAAATGCATCACTATTAAAAAGGAAACTTCGGTACACTTCCTACTGAGGGCTTTTTTTCTCCTTTTTTTCTCCTAAGAAAACATCCAACAATAGAGTAGAAGGTGCTTAACTAACCACCTAAAAGTCATCAAGGTTCTTTCTTCAGTCAGTGAAGACGGACACATGTTGAAGGCAGTTCATGCTCCTTGTTCTAGGTATCTGTATTGGAACTGATACGAGACACCTAACTTTTAGATAGCTAACCTTTGGGAACATGAACCAAATCACAGAATGGTTGAGATTGGAAGGGACTTCTAGAGATCATCCAACCCCCCTGCTCCAGCAGGGACACCTAGAGCACGTGGCACAGGGTGGCATCCAGGTGGGTTTGGAAGATCTCCAGAGAAGGAGACTCCACAGCCTCTCTGGGTAGCCTGTTCCAGGGCTCTGTCACCCTCACAGAAAAGAAGTTCTTCCTCACATGGAGATGGAACTTTCTATTCATTGATTTGCACCCGTTTCCCTTTGCCTTGTCGCTGCCCACCACTGAGAAGAGTTTGGCCCCATCCTCCCTACATTCTCCCCTCAGCCATGCGGATCAGATCTCCTCTCAGCCTTCTCTTCTCTAGGCTGAACAGGCGCAGCTCACTTAGTCTTTCCTCATAAGATAGATGCTCCAGTCCCTTAGTCATCTTCGGGGCTCTACCCTGGACAATCTCTAGAAGCTCCACATCCCTCTTGTACTGGAGAGCCCAGAACTGCACCCAATACTCCAGGTGCGGCCTCACCAGAGCTGAGGAGAGGGGCAGGATCCCCTCCCCCTCCACCTGCTGGCAACACTCCTTCTCATGCAGGCCAGGATCCCATTGGCCTTCTTGGCCAGGAGGGCACACTGCTGCCTCCTGGTTAACTTGCTGTCAACCAGGACTCCCAAATCGCTCTCCGCAGAGCTGCTTTCTAGCAGGTCAACCCCTGATCTGTACTGGTGCCTGGGGTTATTCCTCCCCCGGTGCAGGACCCTGCACTTGTCCCTGTTGAACTGCATGAGTTCCTCTCTGCCCAACTTTCCAACCTGTCCAAGTCCCAGTGAAAATAACTGTATTGGATGCTGCTATAAAAGCTTTAAACTACCATGGTAGTTTTCTACCCAAATTAATTTCAAATAAAACCCTGTACTGTAATGCAGATGTGCCCTATTTCACTTCCCCCTCCACAATGAAGTGAAGGATTAGGATGCTTAAGTGGTCAGTATAGCTGCTCAGCAATACTGGCTTATGAGTCTTTTCATATTAGAAAGCCTGATACGACTTTTACGAAGACTTCTAGCTCTCTCCAAAAAAATATTTGTGCTCAAGTGGGTACGGAAACAGGGAAGGCAAGTAGGTCATTTAATTGATGGCCAGCATGTCCACCACTCTCACACTACTACAAGAGCAGAATAAAGGGAATGACATGTGAGGAATAACAACGCATATTGCTTGCACTCTGCTCTGACCACAAGTTACTTTTTACCAGCCTACAGTGTTATGGATCTCAAAATGTTATTTCAGGAGAAAAACAAAGCAGCCATCCGTACCTCCCCCTCCAAGTGTGCCTCTCGTCAGTGTGCAGTGATGAGCCCAAATTGGGACAAAACTGTAATGACAGCTATAAATATTTATTTGGATTACATTTGCTAGATAGTGCTCACACTGAACTGGTAAAATTATCAATATTGGATTTAACAAAATAATACTGTACTCAAGTTGGCTGGGCATTTAAAATTCATCACTGTCTCTTACCTTCTCTTATGGCTGTCTTCTGAGCACAGAGCTTGGCATATCAGGCCAATTAGGCAGAACCAAAGTGCTGCTAGTGCAATTATCCTCCAGTCGCTGACGGATTTAATGAGGGGTATGCAGCCCATTGACCAATCAAAACACAGCCACCAGGGACACAACAGCAACCAAGCATTCAACGAGTAGTAGTAATTATAGTTTATAGCCTGCCAGTCAAAAAGAAAACAAACATTTATTTGACACTAGACGAAAGGTTCTTCTCTATTTCTCCTCTTTGCTACCATTTCCCTTATCACAAAATACATCTTATACAATAAAGAGGGCTTAAATACTGTTAAATTACAAGTAGTTATGCATCCATTAATTTTACCACTGTGAAATTAAATGATTTTTACTTATTTATTTAAACACACTTAAGTGCCTCTCATTCAGAGCAGGGACACAATTCTATTCTGTCCAACCAATACTCACTTGTATAAAGAACCATCTCATACACTAGGAGGAAATGTCAAAAGACAGCACCAAATGCCTTCATTCTCCATCTCCAGAAGCAGCTTTTATGCTGACAGCTAGAGCTATAGGGCCAAAACACACTCCAAATGCACCAAGGCAGAAACCCCGCTGCTTTCCTCAAAAGGGCTAGAAAAGATTAGGAGGCAAATAGAGTATGTGGAAAAAGCATGAGAGGCAGCAAGATCCAAATCCCATAGATGGGAAAAGGAATGAACAAATGAAAATATACTTCCATGTGTGCAGCACATGTTAAACTGAATGCAAAGAATATATAAAGTAGACTTTTAAAAATTGCAGAATATCATAGCTGCTAAAAGGAAGGTGACTCATCACATCTCAAAATGTAAAGATTGCCTACATTATTGCTTTTTGAGGCACTGAAAATTAAACTTCATGTCAAAGTTAAATGTTTTGGAATGCCCCGAAAACAGCAGTGTCATGACTTACTCTCACAAGTGGACTCTCTGCAAATGAAGCTGGGTTGTCTACTTCAGTAAAAGCTGGTGGCCCTGTGCCCATAATCCTCCAGCGTATATAGAGTATACTGGCCCCTCCGGACAACAGAAGAATTATTCTGCAGAGCAGTCCCTTTCTTAACAGCCCAGAATTCTAGAGGAAAGAAAATACATATGTTTGTATACATACATACATATATATATATATATATATATATATATGTGCGCATACACGCACGCACACACACACACAGAGTTTTGCTTTCCTCCGGTCCTTGTTCCCCCCATCTCACTCAGTGAGAGGTCATTCTTACGCACTTTAGCTATTGGACCTCATATTTTTCTTATTTTGAGTTAATTTTTTTGTATTTTATCTGCTTGCTTTACAGTGATACAATTTACCACTAAGACAGAATAGGAAAGGTACTGTGCCCTTCCAGGTTTGTGTAAGCACCTGCTCTATTACAGAAAGCCAGCAACAACTCAAATGAAGAAAGGCAAGGAATTCCCTTTAAAACTTTTCTAAGCTACTTTCATTGACTAATTAAAAATACATTTTGCAATTTCATTTCTACATGGATTAGGAAGGAAACCACTTTTCTTCAACAAGTCTATCTCCTACAAATCCACAGGAACTCTATAACTGATGCAATTTTACAAACCAATTTCTCATAGGGAATTTGAGCTGAATACAGCTATTTGTATTCAGCACACTAGATTGATCTATCATTTCTTTCTAAAAGGAAGGACAGCTGATTGCAAATTTTGCTTTAAATAGCTATGCCTCTTCCTCATGAAAGAGTTTTTCTCCACTTAGGTCTGCTTAGAGGTGAAATTACATGAGTAATATGCAAGAAAGCCACTGTTTCAGTTCTAGAGATAATACTTTCAGTGATTTCCTTCCTTCAGCTTCTCAAGAACACTCCCACTTCACACTGTAGAGGAATTTGAGAGTCTCACAGGACTTGTGCTATTCAGGAATGCAAGCAAACTTCTCTGCAGCAAAAGCACTGCCCAATGAGCATTATTTTGCCTTGACAAACTCTGCATGGGAGAGGCAAATGACTCGATGCACATTGGCTGCTGGACTATTTGTTTGCTGTCAAATGACTTTTTTGAGGCTGATTATTTCTGCAACTTGTTTGCCAGTGTGGATGTTAGGTGTCAAAATCCACTCGAGCTGACCAGATATCAGCAAAAGTCAGAAGTTCACTATTCAGTGATTTACTAAAGTAATTTTTCTTCAAGCTCTTATTAGGTATTTTCTTCTATTTGATAATTTATATTTGGAAGAAAAGAATATAGTACTTTAGTGGGGTTGAGAAAATAGATATGATATTTTTATCTACTTTTTCATATATCTATTTATATATCTCATTTGTAGATCTAAAAAGAATCTGACCCTGCAGAATTCATTGTACCAAGAAGCCAGTTCTTCCTAGTGTGCAGACATCACATTTTTAAGATACTGCCTCGAGTGCTGTGTGATTTCTCTATTCAGTGCACTTCAGAGGCTTCTCCATTGCCACTCATGTTGCTGAAAAGATGTCATAGCACACTGTCCCTTTTAGCTAACTGAAAATACCTCTAATTTTTCTTTATATCTCCCCATGCCCCCACCTCCGCCCCCC